GCCCAGGGAGAGAGAGAGAAGTGTTGATTCATCTGTCATGTCATTATTAAATTTCCCTCCCCCAATGCAATGACAGATGGTTTAGTCCATCAGTGAGAACTTTCCTTGAATAATGCAGTTCTCCCTCATATTTCTTATAGAATATACATTTATAGAAAATATAGAAGAAAGTTATATTCCCCTGGTGACTAGGTAGTACCTTGCTCAAGTCTTCAATGACCACTGATACCCCAACTTCTTTCTTCAATTCTCTTCTCTTACTCTATTGACATTCCTTGAGCTATTTTACATATTTCCATGGTTTTATTCTACTCCTGAATTCTAGACACATGAAGCCAACTTGCTATGGAACATTCCCAGGTATTATCCTGACACCTTAAAATCAACAAGTTTCAAACGGAATTAATTATACTTTATCTTCAATCACATAATTGGCCGCTTGCCTATTAGACTGTGTTGAGTGTTTAACATATTGATATCCTTTGTCTTATAATCTTATGTCTGAAATAGCACTCTTTTATTTGAAAGCCTCCATGTAATACCCTAGGGTTATCCTGGCAAGTCTCTGACCCCTGTCCTTGGAAACCAGCAGGAATCTTCTTACTCTTGTTTGATCATTAGCTTCTAGCCTCCTCACTTCAATCCCTAAAGTGGTATCTTTAGTTATCACACACCAGTTCACCGAGAAGTTATAGCATATTAAGCAAGCCAAACATCACCAAATATGCTGAACAGTAAACAAGAGAGCCCAGGAAGAGTCAAACAGAAAAACAAGAGATTTTGATAACAGAGTGACTGAAAGTCTAAGCAAAGGATAAAAAATTCTGCTGAAATAAGTAAGCAAGAACAAGAAGCTTTTTCTTTTATTATTTAATACTTCTTTTTACTTGTTTTCCTCACAGTTAATACCTGGTCAAGGGTACTCTCCACTAGGAGTATGTTTGAAATGGAATCTGAGGACTTCCTGGAATTCTAACCATCTTAAGCTGCGAAGTTTCATTAGTTCATGTCCCTTTAGTCAGTGAGTAGTTCCAAGGTGCTGCATCCTATTAGAGGGTCACCAGATTTCACATCTAAAACTTTCCAATATACTCAGCAAATATCTGTCACAACCTAATAGATGACATAGTATTTTTTGTTACACTACTTCATGAGATAAAAGTGAGAAGGTGTTCAAGAATGTTATGTATATGCCTTATTTGCTTTAAACTATTCTGTCATAAGCCACTTCACAATGCCCAATGCAATATTACCCTGACATAACATGCAATGGATTATTTGGTCACTCTGTATTTGAATTGTTGGCATTTTCCTTGTCTTAACCTATTTCTCTTGTAACCAAAGTCTTTTCATTGGTAGCATAACTGAAAGAAAAACAAAAAAAACACAAACAAACAAAAGACCTTTACTTTTAAGCCATTTTTCTCCCTCTGGACTTTTGTTGCTATTAAAACATTTAGCAATGTAATTAAAAGTAATTTAAATAGCTAATTAGGTAGTGTTGTAGAGTACTTTCCAATAATACATTCCCTTAAACAAAGCATCCATCATTTACACAGTGCAATTTGTCACTGATGGTACAAATGCAATTATGTTAAATGGAAGAAAGCATACACAAGTCAATTCTCTGGTTCTTTGTAAAAATGTCTTATCTATAATTTTTAAAATCATTCTTACAGGTTCAAAAATTATACATGGAAAATTTGGGCCTCCAAATTTTAGTTAACTTTGCAGCAATCTAGTTTCTGGTTCAAAATCATGTTTTTGACAATGAAGACCCAAATTAAAACTATGTCAATGCTTTAACAAAATTGACTGATGAGTTTAATCAACCAAATTGTCCACTTAGTCAAACAAATGCTTTGACAGTATGATTTGCTTATTTGTTGTTTCTTTGCTAAATTAACTTTTAAAAAACATTTAATTGACTGATTGTCAACATACTGTAGCAAGATGAACTCAATGTTTGAAAACAGTTTCTATGTGATTTTTAAAAAACTGATTATGAAAATTAATAAACAACATATTTCTTAAAAATGCATAGAAACTTACTCTAAGATATTCTGAAAAATCTTATTTTAAGGACCTTTTGTGAAAACAAAAAATCTTTATAACTCCATTTAAACTGGTCACAGTCATGATTTTTATTATTCAATGATTTTCTATACAAAAATTTAAATACATTAATGAAAATATCTTTGTCTATGAAAAAAATTGAGTGTTAAAAAGGACTTTATGTTTAAATAACCATTTAATTTCTGAATGGCAAACAAAGACTTTTATTTTAGGAGCAATAGAAATGCACATATCAGAAATTCAGTGTCTATTGTGAGAATATCCTACTAAAATATTGGCAGAAAAACAGACTTTAAAAATACGTTCAAAGCAATCTCTAATTACTTTAACTCTTCAGTTATTGCTGGGAATGTGCTAGATTCTTCTAGGCATGTTCACAAGAGAGAAAGAGACAGAGGGAGAGAGAAAGAGAGAGAGAGAACACACAAACAAAATATTGAACACCCATCACACTGGAATTAACAGTCAGTGCAGCTTGAAGACCTTTATGTGAACTGTTGAATAGTTAAGTATAGGGTCTATGGTACAGTTAATAGTTTTTTGAAAAAATTATACAAATGAGGTATAAACTCATGTAACTTTCAATTTTGAGTCACAGGTATTTTTCATAAACCAAATTAATATTTTCTCTAAATTTCAAGTGAAAATATTTATATTATAATTTTTTTCTTTCTCTATTGTTTTTTACCTTCCTGCATCTCTCCTACCTTCTTTTCCTTTCACATTGCATATAATGAATTATTATGCAGCCATCAATAAGGACAAATATATGGACTTTGCAGCAACTTGGATGGATTTAGAGTCGATCATACTCAGTGACTTATGACAGAAACAAAGATCAGAGTACCATATGTTCTCACTCATAAGCGGACCTTGAACAGTTATAATACTATAAGAAAGCAATTGGCAGTAGTGAGAAACTGTCAGGGAAAGGCGGTAGGATCGGCAGTTGAGGGAAACTGCTAGGGGAGGGAGGGGCATACCTCATCAACAAGGGTACCTGCATAATCAATGTTTGTATACCTAACCCTGAATTGTACCTCGCATCTTTATGATAAAAAAAGAAAAAAAAAGAAGAAAAAAAACAAGAAAACTGGCATATATTTATTTAAATGCATGTATTTTATATATGTGCACATTAGTGAGGTAATTGACTATCAATTCAAATTTAAGTTATCACATCTGTTTCTCTATAACTGATTCTCTTAATGTGGATATTAACTTATTTGACAGTTGATAAACACTTCATTTAGAATTTCAATTACATGCTTATAAAAGAGCCTTGTTTGCTTCCATAACTACTTAACATTTGATTTTCTTTCAATAATGTACTGATTATGTTCATAATCTTGGAGTGGGAAGTCGTTAAACTTGACATGAAAAAGTAGATAGTTTTCTGTATCAAAAATGAAATATACATGTTCAGCAAACATCTAAGATTAAACAACAAATTAGAAAAGCATATTTATTATAAATATGAAGGACAAATGATCAGTTTTCTTATACAAAGGATTTTTATAACAGTAAACATTACATAAATGTGAGCAAGCAATTCACAAATAAAAGAAATATAAAGGGTCAATAAGCATGTGAAAATATTGCAAAGTAGTGCAAGTTAACATATATAAAAACTTTATACCATTCTTTACCAAGCTGACATAATTAAAGAAATTTATAATCCATTTTGAAGAGTAAAGTATTATTGGTGGAAGTGTACATTTTTGAGATTTTTAAAAATCTGTTGATATTTACCACACTTGAAATGTATTTCCATCTTTCCCATCCATTTCGCTGTTAGAAACATACCATAAAATGCATTTAGATAATTAGATATTTTCCCAAATATAGTAGACAGCATGCACAGATATATACACAAAATGTAGCCACTATAAGAGGGACGCGCTATCCAGATATAAAAAGATTTCTATCATAGATTATTAAGTCAACAAATAAAATAATACAAAGATTCAAACAATATGTATAGTGTGATAATACCCGATTAAATTAACTGAGAAAAATGGAAAGCGCAATGGAGCACACGTACAATGTCTGTTTGATTTTGTGGAGAACATTCTGATAAGAGGGTCTCCACATTGTTAATTGGTTACCTCTTGATAGAAAGAAAGGGTGTGAGGAGGGAGCCAAAGTAATATATAATTTTTCTCCATATACATTTCCATTTTTTAAAGCAAATAACATGCATTCAAGTAACAAGTGTATGTTTTAAAATTGAAATCGACTACTTAAGTAAACTTTTATAACAGTGCAATTTTTTGTTGATAAAAACCTTATTTGAATAAAAAAGAAAAGAAGGAAACATCCTTGAGGTATATCTGAGTATCTTACTGTATAAACCAGATTATATTTATATACAGTCTCAACCTGTCACACTAGACCAAGAGTTCAATAGAAAATAGAAGTGGTTTTTTCATTGATAAGAAAAAAAAAGTTTGATAAAGTTTTTTAGAAATGATTGTTTTTCAAAGAACTGATTACCACATGTTCTCACTTACAAACAGATCTTGGACAATTATTACAATACTATAAAAAAAGGGCTTAGCAGGAGTGGAAAACGGCCTGAGGGGAGGGGAAGCACACCCCATCAACGAGGGTGCCTGCATAATGAACATTTGTATACCTAACCCAGAATTGTACCCTACATCTTTAAAATTAAAAATTAAAAAAGAATCCAGAAGTTTAAAAAAAAACAAGCAAAAGAAATGATTGTTTTTATTAGATTTGGAAAAAAAAAGTCCTGTAACGTTGCCGAAGGCAGAAATATTCTATTTTTAATTGAAATTGTGATTCTTAACTGCTGTATTCCTTGGTATTAGTTTACCCCAAGTGCTGGAAAGGCAAACACATATAATTTCCCTTCGTGTGTATTGAAGATGGCTTCTCTTTCTCCCTCCTCCTCCTGGCAGCTTTCAGCCGTGCACCCATTCCGATGGCTGTGGTCCGCAGAGAGCTCTCCTGTGAGAGCTACCCTATAGAGCTCCGCTGCCCAGGAACAGACGTCATTATGATTGAGAGTGCCAACTATGGGAGGACTGATGACAAGATTTGTGACTCTGACCCTGCTCAGATGGAGAATATCCGGTGTTATCTGCCAGACGCCTATAAAATTATGTCTCAAAGGTATGATACTTATCATATTTTCTCTGTGCATATAATACAATCCTTCAGCATGCATCTGTGTGACCCGTTGAACATCAGTAAGAACATAAACAGTGTTGTGTGTTTTAGGATAATTTGAAATATTTTTCAATATCCTACTATTTCCCATATCAACAAAATGGTAGTATTAGAAATTGCAAATAGCATTTTGAAAGTATTAAAATTTATTAGATGCTTTATTAAATTTCGTGGTCGAATCTGCCTGCTGTTCTGTTAGTACAGAATTGGTACATTACATGAGAGATTAAATGTAATTTTCATCACTTTCAAAAATAATATTTTCTCCAAAATTTGCAGAAAAATATTTCACTGCTAACAGCTATTTCTTAACAGTGTAGGAAAAAAAGAAGCAATAAAAGTAAAAGAAGCCGGGCTCGGTGGCTCAGCCTGTAATCCCGCGCCTTTGGGAGGCTGAGGTGAGTGGATTGCCTGAGCCCGCGGGTTCGAGACCCGCCTGGGCAGCGAGACCTCATCTCTACAATAAATCAAAAATCAGCCGGGCGTGGCAGCGCAGGCCTGTAATTCCGGCTACTCGGAAGGCTGAGGCGGAAGGATCGCCGGAGCCCAGCCCGTCGAGGCTGCGGTGACCGGGAGCGGCCAGTGTACTCCAATCTGGGCAACCGAGTGAGACTCCAACTCAAAAAAAAAAAAAAAAAAAAAGTAAAAGAAAATTTTATAATTATTAAGCAAAAGATGGTAAGACTATGATTAATGATTATTTGGCCTTGTAAAACAAATTTTAAAAGTTTATTTTGGTGTCTAGGATAAGAAATTAATAGAAGTGGTTAAATATATTCAGCTTAAATATATTTAAGCTATCTAAATACTACCATATTAAAATACTACAAATTGAGATGACAGATAATATCACTAGATAAGAAAAAAATGGTTTATTCTATACAGATTGGTCCATAAGAATACATACTATATGAGGTTTAAATTATATTAAAATGCTTTGATAGTTATCTAAGTATTATATTTCTCTTAATATTTGTTTACTATTATCATACTTTTTCAAAAATCAGGGATGAAGATATTCATTTATTACAAGCCTTCAGCTATCAAGCATTTTTTTCTTCTATTACTTAAAAAGTTTTTAAAATACAAGGAAAACTATTGGTTTCACAAAACTAAACAATTGAAATCAAAAAACAAAAACAATGAATTTCAAGGATTATACTTCTAAAAAGAGCTTCCTTATTTTTAGTCTGTTGTCTTCTTGATACATCATAGTCTGATAGTATTTTTATGTGATTAATAAAATCATAAGGAGGGCACATAACATCAATAAGGGTACCCAATCTCAATCCAGGCAAAATGGGGACCAAAGGAGGGCCCAAATTTTACCTATATGATGACCACTTATGTACCTAACCCTGAATTGTACTCTACATCTTTGAAATTTAAAAAAGGGGGGAAAAACCCAACAGGACCTTCTAGGAATTCTCAAAAACAAAACAAAACAAAGAGTAAGTAACTTAGTTTTATAGATTATTGTTGTATAAATTATTAACATAAATCAGATTTTTAATGATCAAAACATCCGAGGTATGCTTGAAGGATAATGGATTCTGTGCAATATGAGGGCTTTTATTTGTTTTTTACTAAAATGATGCTTCGTACTAAGGTGAGTGTTAATGAGAAAGAAGATTTTGAAATTAGGGATTCCATTTGATAAAAGTTTGGTTGTCTCTTGTTGTTCTTGTGTGTCTCTCTCATTATTATGTATTTGACATACTTCCGTCTAACTACAAATATTATGTTATGCCTGAAAAATTCTAATTCTTTCATTTGTGTGGGGTGTTGCCATGGTCTTTCAGAAGTGATTTTCTATGAGTAGTATGGAGTGGGCACTATGACTAAATTGCTATTTTTATTTGCTTCAGTTAGACAAATGTAAAATTCTGTGGAACCCGTTTTGTGGGCTGAGGAGAAAAGTTTGCTTTGCTCTGATCGGTTTCTCACTTAAAATGTAATAGAAGTATTAACTTCACTAGCTCTTTGATCTCTATATGTTTTTCACTGAAATTGTTTTAATCCTTTCATTGATATTATTAATGGTTCCCCAAATAATCCTTTAATCTTATAACTATTGCAAAAAAATAGTTATAATGAATCTTTTGGTGCCACTGAACTATATGGGATGAGTATATAATGTGACAATTCTGCAGAGTAAAAATACTCTAAGCACTGTTAGTAAATCATTTGTGTAAGCCCTCCTGGTGGTTTCTCAAGTAAGAGTTGTCAGTTAGCTGAAATAACTAACTGTGGTTAATTCTCCATGGAAGCAAGTTTCTCGCATGCATTTGAACTTAAATATACTACATTTACACTTGTTCAGAGACATTTTTGACTCTTGGAGAAAAGAAATTGGGTTCCATTTTGTATGCTCCTAAGAGATGAATTGCCCATGGCCATTTAAACCACTTTATAATGAATTTAGTTACACTAATATGCTAGCCACAGCATGTTAAATAGTACTAATAATTACTAATTATGATTTGGACATGTCATACTAATAATGTTATGAACAGTTTAAGTAGATTAATGCATTTGAACTGAAATCATAATGAAAAGCATCTTTTCCAAAAGATAGCTTAGATTAACATTTTTTTCTTTCACTTAAACTTCTAGAAACAGACTATAGCAGGGTCTAAATATTTTAAAGCATATCTTGTGAAAGAATTATTACTAATTACAAAGAATTATTATTGTTACTGTATTCTTGCATAACCTTGTTAAAGAAGATAACTGACTTCAGCCTTATACATTAGACAGTGTCCCAGGCATGGAGAGACATGAAATATCATTCATGCAGATGTCTGAATACACAGTGAACAGATGCATACATTAAAATGTATACTAACATGTAAGTGGGAAAAATCTGGAACTCAAATGGAAAGGGATGTGACTCTTGTTTTTCATGTTTTTCTCCAGAACTATCTAATCTGATATCTGTCATGGAAGAGCCACTTTCCTTTTTCCTTTCCAGATTGTATGTTTTCAAATCAAGTGTGTTCTCAGGCCATTCTGTCCAACTCCTCAAGTACTCCATGCTTTAATTCTCTTTCATTATCCTACTAGAGGACTTATTACAATGTCAGAACACATTTATTTCTCCTCAGAACTTCTAAATTTACTATCATCTCCATCCCTCTTTACTGTATCAAAATATTAACAAACCTGTATTATTACACAGCTGCCTTATCTAAAGTAAATTTTAGGTTTCTGGAGGGCAGACTTCCTGTTGATTTTGCCCAAAACCAACTTTAGATGTATACATGAATAAATAAAAAAGCTCATTAGTTTTGTCATGCCACTTAAAAGCTTTCTTGACTCTATGATCTGAATGATTTCTGTTTCATTTTATGTTTATACATTTCAGAAAGTTTTTACAAAATATCACAGACTGCTTTGGAATCTAAATGTGAAAATGAATATTAGCCACTGGTTAATTTCAGAAATTTTACAATTGGAATTCAGTACAGGTTTCAAGTTATCTCCAACTATTAATGGAAATATTTCAATTATTATTTCAACCAATAATTGAAAGTTTGCAGTACGTAGTTTACTATAATGATTACTCTTGGGTTTGATGAATAAATAAGTCAGACATAGTTCCTACTCACGAAACTATAGATTTTTTGACAGATTTTAAAAAAGCCAGCTATATCATTTGCTCAACTTTTTATTTTTATCTCATTTACATTTGTTGAGGAGGTTCATGGAGGAAAACTCTTTCAGTCAGATGATATTAAAGAGCATTTCATTAGACAGGAGGTTTTGGAGTTGGTCCTTGAAAGATGGGAGCATTAGGGGCACCAGAAAAGACCTAAGTGATACTAAATATGTAAGCAGAAGAACATCAAAAAGGAACATGAGGGAATAACTTCCTTCCAGTAACCCTTCCCCCATCCTTCTCTGCCATGATCATAAGTTTGTTGGTGTTCTACTGTGGCTATAACATTATCTAGTCTTTCTGAGTCTCCTTCCTAATGTGCAATCATTACTTGGGGACAAACCGCCCCTCCTCAAAACCCTCCCTGAGCCAGACATAGCCCAGCCCTTTGTAAGGTCAAGATGGTAGGAATGCTTAAGCCCAGGAGTTCAAGACCAGCCTGGGCAACATAGCAAGACTCTGTCTCCACAATATAAACAAACAAACAGATACATAAATAAATAAAATTAATTTAAAAACATTTAAAAGCCCTCCCTGTAGGTGAGGTGTAAGCTGTTAAGAAACCTTCATATTGCTAGATGATATAATAATAATTTGATGTTCATTCCTTGTCAAAAAAACTTTCATAGGTGTTCTTATAAAATAGACATAAATTCCATGTAAATAAGAGAAATTTGAAGATCATACATGATGGCATCCTCATGCCAGCCTTTTATGACATATTTAAAAATATATGGTATACTATCCTTATTTTACATATAATTGCCTAGTTTTTCAAGTTGAAAAAGCATTTGTTAACTGGCATGTGAATGCATATATGTGTATACATGTATGTATGTATGCATATATGCATGTGCAACTCTTTATGGAATGATAATATACTTATAGAAAATTCCACACATCAGCTGGGTGCAATTGCTCATGCCTACAATCTTAGCAGTTTGAGATGCTGAGGCAGGAGAATTGCTTGAGTCCCGGAGTTTAAGACCAGCCTGGGCAACAAAGCAAGACCTCATCTCTACAAAAATATAAAAAAAAAAATTAGCTGGCTATGGTGGTGTGCACCTGTAATCCAGCTACTTGGAAAGCCGAAACTGCAGGATCCCCTGAGCCCAGGATATTGAGGCAGCTGTAAGCTGTGATCAAGCCACTGAATTCCAGCCTGGGAACAGAGTAAGATTCTGAAAGGAGAGGAGGGAAGGGGAAGATAGGGGAAGGGAGAGGAGGAGAGGGGGAGGGAGGGGAGGGGATTCTACATTTTATACATATATAATTCAATGAA